AATAATTTTTAAATATCAGAGCATTTAAAAAAATATTTGTGCTATTTGCTCTGTCATGACATACTTTTAAGTTTAATCTGCATTATTAACATTTTTCCCATGACTTTCACAAGCCTGGACAAACAACATAACAATAAATCCAGTCCTGATTTATAGTGTTTGACTATTTCTGTGGTGTAAATATTCCCACCTCAGCCAATTTCAAGCGACAGATGTGATGTCACTGAGCTCGGAGCTGGGCGGGGATGACGACAGCTCACTGCTGTGTGGGATTTCCACTGTACGGGTACAGTCATGTAAATAAAGGAGATCACGTAAATAACCTCAAGAGCTTTGATTGTAACAAAATGTCGTGGGGTAGTTAAGAAGGGATGATTTTTGAATATCTATGACCTTTGCTTTTGGTATAATTTATTTACTCATTAGCTTATATCATTTAATCGTTAATGGCAGTTGTGTTTAACAACCAGCTTGTAAATGTCCTGAACATTGAGTAATTGTTTCTCAGCAGCTGGGATGAGCTGGCCCCAGAACAATGTCAGGTGAGTAGCTTTTAGGTGTTGCATGGACAGCCATGAGTTATAATAAAAGCCACCCAGGGAGGGGTCAGTGTTCCACATTGACGCTTCCCCTCAAAAGGTAATGGTTCCTCGCTTTTAGGTGTTGCATGGACAGCCATGAGTTATAATAAAAGCCACCCAGGGAGGGGTCAGTATTCCACATTGACGCTTCCCCTCAAAAGGTAATGGTTCCTCATTCCCATCTTAGACTGTATCTGGGATAAGTGTTGCCATTTGCTTTGGGAAGGCTTGTAACCTATTTCTAGAGACCCTCAGTCCCGTGAGAATCTCAAACTGCTGTGCCTCCCTTTTTCTCTTGCAGGCAGCCGGATGGGCCGCTGGGGCCGCTGTATGCATCTTCAAACCCCGAGTACCTCAGTGCCAGCGATGGTGCGTACTGCCCCCTTCCCAGACCACTGATGTTAGGTTTCCTTTGCCATCACCATCAAATGAGAGTGGAGGGTGACACCCTGGGGAGCCCAAGGAAAGCCCTCTAGTTCTTTGGAGCTTACCGGTCTGAACTTGCTGCAGAAACCTTACCGTGAGCAGTGGGACACCTGCTGTCCGGCACCTGCTTGGGTGGGCTGATTTGGCTGGTCTGGGACTCTTGGGCTGGGACGAGAGGCTGAGAACCTCGTGCCACAGCAGTGGGAGTGTGGCCGCAGAGAGCACCGAGGGTCAGAGCCAGAGAGCCACGTCCAAACTTGCCGTCCAAGCTGGGAGGTGGGAATCGGAAGCCAAAATGGGAGACTAGGGGCAGACAAGAACCGGAGACAAGACAGGGCAGGTGGGAAGCTGGGTGGCTGCTAGGGACACATCTGCTGAGGGTGGCAGCTGAACGTGGATGTGATGTTGATGCTGGTGGCGGGAGGGTAAGACCTCGTCCATATTGTCCTTGATTGTACCTAAGGGCAGTGACTGGTGCCTATAGAGAAGGCTTGGCTGTTCCTTCAGAGGTGAAGGCATCTGTTGGATGACATGATTTTAAAGCGCTTCATGCAGCTAAACTCTAAATGTGACTTTCAGGACATGAACGTGATTGGCCAGAGGGTGCTGCCTTGGGATGTGAGGGTGGTGTTTTTGGGGTATCCGGGACTTGTTTTAATCAGGTGTTGTAAGACACACAGACACAGGGATGACTGTCATGAGGAAGAAGTTTGTACTCACAGATCCCTAGAAACAGGGGGCAGGGCCACCATGCAGGGCCACACAGGAAAGCACCAGGGTTGGTCAGGAGGCAGAGGGAGCGAGCTGGAAATACGAGCCCTTGCTGTGGTTTCCATGGGAAGGGACAGGTGAGGCAGGGTCAGCAGGGTTAGGATTGGCTGCTTTGGAGAACTGCAGCAGGCTCTGGGGCATAGGGGCTGTTCACAGCTGTCTGGTGCCTGGTCCAGGGCTGATTAGGGCAGATGGATAGTGATCCAGAGCATGAGAGCCTGGTAGAGGAAGTGCTTAGGGTGTGGGCTCTGGACTGGTTGGCTTGCATTTGAAAGGCAGGTCCTTTACTATCTTTAGGAATTGGCTAACCCTGGGAGAAACTGTCTCTCCAGGGTCAGGGAGGCCTCAGATTTCAAAGCATCGGAAGACAGAAAATGTGGTTATTGCAGGTGGGAAGTTGTGGGGGAAACAGGAATGGGGAGAAAGCAACCATAGATCCGATTGGGAATGGTGCCGTTACCACATATAGAGATGGGGAAGCTGAACCTTCGGGCTGCCCTTGAGATGCCCAGTAAAGGGGATGGGAGCTCAGGCTGCCTTTCTACCCTACCGCCCTGCTTCCTTCTGGGAATGTGGCAGTGGCGGAGGGCACAGGGATGTCCAGGTGAAAGTTTGAAATTGAGGCCCAGGGGTCTCTGAGGCAGAGAGGGGTCCGGGCTCAGGGTCCTGAGGGGCAGGGAGCCCCCACTGAGCACCTGTGAGTTCGTCTGGGTGTAGAGTTCTCATCTGATCCAAGGATTTTGCATGATCCATTAGTGATTGTATGAGTTAGTTACGGCTGCTGAGACAAAGTACCACGCTGGGTGGCTTAAACAACGGAAGTTTATTTTCTCATAGTTGTGGAGACTGGAAACTCGAGATCAAAGTATGGTCAGGGCTGATTCCTTCAGAGGCCTCTCTCCTTGGCGTGTAGATGGTGCCTTCTCCTGTGTCCTCCCTCACATGGTCGTCCCTGTGTGGGTGTCTGTGTCCTTACCTCTCCTCTTTTTATAAGGACACCAGTCATACTGGATTAGGGCCGCACCCTAGTGACCTCATTTAAGTTGATTATCTCTTTAAAGACCCTATCTCCAAATACAGTCCCATTCTGAGGAACTGGGGATTAGGTCTTCAACATCTGAATTTTTGTGGGGGACACAATTCAGTCCCTACAGTGAGGGTTCAGAGAAAGTCAGGAGCCAACCACTTTGGCTTTTCTTATGAGGCTTTTGTGCATTATCTGTGACTCATTTGCCGTGTAACAAGCCACACCAGATTCAGTGGCTTAAAACAACCATCATTTTTTAGCCCAGAATTTGGTGGGTCAGTCACCGGGGCTGGGCTCAGCCGGGCAATTCTTTGGTCTCAAGGGCTTGCTCACATGGCTGCATTCTGCTTGTGTGTCAGCTGATGCTGGGTGGTCTCGAATGGCCTTACTCACACGTCTGGTGGTCAGAAGGCTGGGTGGTCCTGAGCAGGGACTCGGTTGGGGGTGGCTGAGCCTCTCCAGTCTCTCCACATGGTCTTTCAGGCTCTAACAGTAGCCCAGGCTCCATTCCATGGTGCTCTATGGGTTCCTGCAGCAAGGAAGGGCAATCTCCAGGACATTAGCCCGTCCCCAGTCTCTGTGTGGGTTGTGCTTGCTAATTCCCATTGACCAAAGCGAAACACAAGTCTATCCCCAGGTTCAAGGGGTGGGGACATAGACCCCACCTCTTTATGGGAAAGGCTGCCAAGTACTGCGGCCATTTATTTCTTTCCAACTTATTACAACCTGTCCCCCATCCCATTAGCGCTTTGCCGAAATGACACCTTCAGAGGAGAAGTATCATCGTTTGGTAGCAGGGGTCTGAAATCAGACAGGAAGGATGGGGATGCAGGCCCAGCTCAGCTGTTATGGGCCAGGATACTGGACCGGTTGTGGCTCCTTCCTGAACCTCTGCCGTCCCCTCCATGGGGGCAGATGCCTGTCCTGTTCTTCGCTATATGCCCAATGCCTGGCCCAGGTCCTGGACCACACAAGTCACATCCTGAATATTTGCAGGGGATCTGGGTGGGAAGTAGTTTGGACCCCTGAGGGATCGGCCAAGAATGCTGTGTAGATAAGTGAGAAATAGTCTTTCCATCCTCTGTGTACGTTCCGGACGAGTGGGAGGTGCCTCGAGAGAAGATCACCCTCCTTCGAGAGCTGGGGCAGGGCTCCTTCGGCATGGTGTACGAGGGCAATGCCAAGGACATCGTCAAGGGCGAGGCAGAGACCCGTGTGGCAGTGAAGACGGTCAACGAGTCGTCCAGTCTCCGAGAACGGATCGAATTCCTCAATGAGGCCTCAGTCATGAAGGGCTTCACCTGTCATCACGTGGTGAGTCTGGCAGAGACAGGATGAAGGCTCCCTTTCATGCCCCTTCCTTCACCCCACCTCCACCTACTGCACAGAGGGACAGAGGACACTGGCTGTGGACCCCTGCCCATCCTCCACCCTGTTAAGCCTCCTATCCTAAAGATGTGGGGAGGGGGTCCCTCCCTTCTCCAATCCCATACTCTCCCACCTGACCTGGAACCAAACTCTATTACTGTCCCATTGCTTTCTGGAATCTTCCATTGCTTTCCAGAATCTTCCATCACTTTCTGGAATTTTCCATCTCTTTTCTTGGTTCCTGAACCACGCAGAAGTCTATCCCATTCCACCTTCCCTCATTCCTGTCCCCGCTTGAAGCCAGCACAAACTCTTCCTGCCTTTCTACTCCCACAGTTGATTTCCCTTTGGGACCCTGGGTCCTTTCATCCTTGCCATGCATGTTTATGGGGTACCTAAAGCCCCATTCTTGTCCCTGTGATGTGGCAGGTTCCTGCTCTCCTGGAGCTTCCAATACAGCAGGTGGAGACAGACTCCAAACCTGATGCATTAATTATGTCACACGTTAGGAGAAAATGCTACGGAAAAATGGAAAAAGAGGGGAGAGGAGGGTTGGGGCATGTTTGAGCAAAGACTTAAAGCGTATGAGGAACTGAGCCATGTGGACATGGGAGGGAACAGAAATTCAGGCAGAGACAACAACTAATGCAGGCCTGGAGGTAGGAACATGCCTTGTGTGCTCAGAAATATTAAGGGGGCTGGATTTGCCTTGGGATGTCACTGTATGTGGGCAGGTCTGTTTGCTCCCCCAGACTAGGACTGACCAGTCCGTCCAGGCACAGGATGCTGTCTGTAATGTAGACATCAGACAGGCAGGCCACGGTGAGTTGAAATCATCCCACACATCCTCATCCAAGAACCCCCATGCTTACCCTGCAGGTCCGCCTCCTGGGGGTGGTATCCAAGGGCCAGCCAACGCTGGTGGTGATGGAGTTGATGGCTCATGGAGACCTGAAGAGCTTCCTCCGTTCTCTGCGGCCAGAGGCTGAGGTGAGCTGCTTACAGGTTCCCAGCGGGGCACCCACCCCCAGCCACGGGCACCAGTATCACTGAACACAACCTCATGTTTCAACTTTAGAATAACCCCGGTCGCCCTCCCCCGACGCTGCAAGAGATGATTCAGATGGCAGCAGAGATTGCCGATGGCATGGCATACCTTAATGCCAAGAAGTTCGTGCACCGGGACCTCGCAGCTCGAAACTGCATGGTTGCCCATGATTTTACCGTCAAAATTGGAGGTTCGTCTGGCTTTCTGCTTTGAAATGTGCGACCTAGGCCAGGTTTGATTTCACAAGGAAGTTTTCAGTTAGAAAGAAAAAAAAAAGAAGGAAATTTCCTATAATAAGTTACTAAATCTTTTCTCATAGTGTAAAGGGACAGGACTTTGGATGGGGGTCTGATCTTCCCACTGTCATTTAATTGCACTTGTTGATAAACTCACCCACTCATTCACTCCTTTAAAAAATATGTGTGTGCCTTGTATGTGCTCGGCAGTCAAGGAAGTTTTAAGTTAGAAAGAAAAAAAAAAGAAGGAAATTTCCTATAATAAGTTACTAAATCTTTTCTCATAGTGTAAAGGGACAGGACTTTGGATGGGGGTCTGATCTTCCCACTGTCATTTAATTGCACTTGTTGATAAACTCACCCACTCATTCACTCCTTTAAAAAATATGTGTGTGCCTTGTATGTGCTCGGCAGTGCAGGAGGTACTAGAGTAGCAACCCCGAGTAAATCACCATGACCGCGCCTTCGGGCAGCTTGCAGTCTTTATCTGCACTATACAGCACAGCAGGGTCACATGTGACCATTGGCATTTAAATTAAGTAAAAATAAAAACTTCGTCAGTTGCACTGGGCACATTTCAGGTGCTTCATAACCACCTGAGCCTGGTGGCTCCCCTATCAGGCTGTGCAGGTATAGACCATGTCCAGCATCATAGAAAGTTCCCCTGGACAGTGCTGCTCTAGGTAAACAATGAGATAGTTCACGTGATAGAAACAAGATAATGAAGACTGGGCAAAGAGCCTCGAAGGAAACAAAGAGCCTCGTGATAGAGAGAAATCAGGGTCGGAGGCTAGTGCAGGGAAGACCTCTCTCTGTAAGGAGGCCAGATGTCAACTGAGACTGGCAGGACCAGAAGTTGACCTGGGGAAGCTCATCCCAGAGGGAGGGTATGGCCCATGAAAAGGCCGTGAGGCTGGCAGGATGGCTGACGCGGCGTGAGTAGAGTGAACGTACAGCAGCACGAGACGTGAGGTTGAGGAGAGAGGCAGGAACCGGACCTGGAAGGGTCTTGCAAGGCATGGCAACATGTTATCCTGAGTGGCCAGCGGGAACAGGAAGGGATGTGATTCTGTTCATGACTTGTTATCCTACTTTAGCAATGGGAAGCAGGAACGGACATGGGCAGTGGGCTGTCGGGGTCAGGGTGAAAGAAGGACTCTGCGGGTAAGAGCCAGGGCAGAGTCAGAGCAATGGAAAGGAGCAGTCAGATGAGAGAGAGATGTGGGGGGAGAACGGGCGGGACGGCTGCCATCTTGGATGTGGACTTTGAGGAAAAGGCAGTGGTCAAAGGAGGGTCCAACTCTGGGTTTCTGGCCGGGCAGCTGGGTGACTGGTGGGGAAACAGCAGGTTGGCTGGAGAAAGTCCAAAGTTCAGTTTGGGATGCCTGTGATGGTGCGGGTGGGAAGGAAGCCTTCTTGAGAATGGGATTCCCAAGCTTCGGGCCAGAACATCACTTCTTTGTTACGTGGTACCTCCTCTTTTCTCCTGTTAAATTGTGGCCCATCCTCTTCTTCCACATCCCATGAGTACCCTCACAATTTGCTTTCACTGGATTTGGCCGCCACCCAGGTGAGCACATACCTGGCGCAGGTGAGCACACACCTGGGCAGGTGAGCCACTCCAAGAAAAAAAAAAAAAAAAAAAAAAAAAAGGTGATGTCCTCTCTGAGGACCCTTGTATGGCTACTCTTACAGGCATTTATAACCTTCAGCATTAATTGTTTTATTAACTGGACAGCCAGGTTCTACCAAACCAAGAAAGTGTGCATGTGTGTGCATGACACTGTGTGTGTAAGGGTGTGTGTTTTAATGGCTTCTTTCTTAGTACTCTCCAATGTCATTGGCAGGTCCTTCGGCGTGGTCCTTTGGGAAATCACCAGCCTAGCGGAGCAGCCTTACCAAGGCCTGTCTAATGAACAGGTGTTGAAATTTGTCATGGATGGAGGGTATCTGGATCAACCCGACAATTGTCCAGAGAGAGTGTAAGTGTAGAAGGGTGTGCACTGTGTGAGCTGTTCATTAAAAAGGCATTGCCCTTTACACGTGTTCGCATACATATGTCTACATGTATGTTTGTGTTTGCATGCTATATGCCTATATGTGATTGTCTGCATATCTTATCTTTACACGTATGCTTTTGTTTGCATATCGTATGTCTACGTGCATGCTTGAGTTTGCATGCTGTATGTCTACATGTGTGTTTTGTTTGCAAAACAAGCATATCTTTACATGTGTGCTTTTGTTTGCATGAAATATGTCTACATGCATGTGCGTCTTTGCATATCATATCTTTATATGTATGCTTGTGTTTGCATATTGTATCTTTGCAGGCACACATATTTGCATATCATGTTTACATGCATGCTTATGTTTACATATCATATATGTATAAGCACACTTGTGTTTTATATTATATCTTTACATGTATGCTTTTATTGCATATCATATCTTTGGATGGTCATACAAGAAATCCACAGCAGTGCTTACCTGAAGAAAAGGGAGCAGGGGAACTGGGGTGGGAGAGAGACTTATATTTAACTATTTGTTCTTTATACACTTACATATCCCCCCCAAATATTTTTGTTTTAAATTTTTGTTGTAGGATCAAATGGACAACACACATCCATGTCATTAAACATTTGGAAAATTGTTTATCCTCAGTAATAGTCCATTAAATATAGAGTAAATAAAGAAAAGTAGTATCTTCCAAAATTGGCACAAAAAAAAAAAAAAAAGAAAGGAAGAAAAAGAGTTTTAATAATCAGTACTACAGTGCTAGCAATGATATGACTAAATAACCGTTCTTATTGCTCTGTTGTAATAGCTACTCAGAACAATTATTTAAAGTTGCAAAAAAAGTTGAAATGTTCTACATGTCCAGCAATATGAGAATTGCTATGTAAATTGATAAATTAATATGACGTAGCAATTGGAATTTCGAATTGTGCTTACACAAATATGCTATAACTCAGTGGATAAGCTTAGTTAAAGTATTAAGTGGAAAAAGTGCGTATCTGTTACCACTGAAAATGTGTCCATATAGAAAAGACAAAACGTTATAGCTGAAGGAGACACATATAGCTGTATGTGGCTTGTATTTTCTCTCTATTTTTGTGTGTTTTCTGATTTTCAACAATGAGCCTTTATTATATATAAAGTCCTTTATCAATGTTTATTAAGAAAAAATTTTGCCCTTCTGAAAATTCATGGAGGGAGGTCATTTTAATGCTTTGTCCCCCAAAGAATAAAACATCAACTTAGAAAACCTAGTATGAAGATACTTTATACATTAAAAAAGTATGAAATAGAAACTCTGAGCAGAGTATTTCTAAACATGTCTCATGAAGGTCTTTTCCTAGCTGTACCAATTAGCAGCCAGCTTTAGTGCCAGTATCAGGGAAATTAAGTAGGCTCTAGGGCAGGGGTTTGCAAACTTTTCCTGTAAAAAGCCACATTGTAAATATCTTCAGCTTTGTGGGCCTTGTGGCTCTCTGTAAAAGCTACTCAACTCTGCAGTTGTAACTTGAAGGCAGCCATAGACATTACATAAATGAATGGGTATGACTGTGTGCCAATAAAACTTTATTGACAAAAACACTCAGAGGGCTGGATTTGGTCCAAGGGCTGGAGTTGCCAACTCGTGCTCTAGAAGTTGTTACAGAGGGGAGAGAAAAGGTAAAATTGAAAACACAAGTCCTCAGTTCCTGTTCTGAGTGCTTTGGGCTGAATAAAATGGTAGCCTGGAGGTCCCAGGACAGCCTATGAGGATGCAGGGATGGGGTCCTGAGTGGTGCTAGACACCGGCATGTCTCCTTTGGGCAGATGCGGTGTGGCCCACCAGGCAGGGGCTGGTCCCATGACCATGGCCACTCAGAGTGGGCTTCCTAGATTCAGCCCACACAGCTGCACCCACCAGGTCCCAGGCGTCCCATCCCTAAGGGTCTTTAAACCTAGAAGAATTGTTGGTGGGCACAGGGAAGCCTTTCCAAGCAGTCCTAGGTAGGAATGAAGCCTTGTGAAATGTACCAAACGGGGGGAAAAAAAATCAGCGTTGTATAAAGTGATGAACCATGCTCAGCACTGCTCAGGAGATGCCCATCTTGACCTGGTTTGGGGATGAGACAGCCTTTTGGCTTTCTTTTCAAAACCGTCTTCTGGCATCCCTAGAATTGCCTTTTCTGCTTGACAATTGCCCGCACATGTGGCCACCATCCGATGCGAGCACTTGCCATCTGTGGGTGTCAGCTGCAGGAGCGAGGGGCAGGGGAGCTGCGTGGCCGGGCCCCCAGACTCATCACGACGTGTCCCTCTGTCCCGCAGCACCGACCTGATGCGCATGTGCTGGCAGTTCAACCCTAAGATGCGGCCGACCTTTCTGGAGGTTGTCAACCTGCTCAAGGATGACCTGCATCCCAGCTTTCCAGAAGTTTCCTTCTTCCATAGCGAGGAGAACAAGGCACCCGAGAACGAGGAGCTGGAGATGGAGTTTGAGGACATGGAAAGTGTCCCCCTGGACCAGTCCTCACACTGTCAGAGAGAGGAGGTTGGGGGCCGGGAGGGCGGGTCGTCACTGGGCCTCAAACGGAACTATGAGGATCAGGCCCCCTACACCCACATGAACGGAGGCAAGAGAAACGGGCGGGCCCTGGCCCTGCCTCGCTCCAGTCCCTCCTAACAGAGCCCGTTTGGGGAAGGGGTTCCTGTCTTCACTTGCCTCTGGTTTGGAAGCCTCCAGAAAACTCAGGATTCTCACAATGCTACCCCAAGGTCAGACGGAGCTCAGAGATCGTTCCTATACATTTCTGTTCCCCTTAGGACTTAAATCACACTTGTTTGCCAAGTTACCTAGTTGTCAGAGGATTTAACTGTGAACCTAGAGGGGAAGGGGTTTCTACAGCCGCTGCCCTTTTGGCAACCACACTTTCCGACGGGGATATTCTTTGTTTTTCTTTCTTTCTAGTAGATTGAAAGAAAGCACCTGTTTTTACAAAAATCTTTTCTTGCCTCCCCCCCCGCCCCCCGCTGGTGACTGAGCTACAGTATAAAACATAAAACTTGTGTGTGGAACAAAAGTTTGAAAGAAAAGAAAACAACCCTGTTCCAGCAGAATTCCAAGCTTTACAGGGTGGGCTTCAGGAAGGTTTTTCTTATCCAGGCTGAAGGATTTTTTTCCTCTTCACAAAATCAGTTCCTCAAATTGACCAATAGCTGCTGCTTTGATGCTTTTGATAAGGGTCTGCAGCCCCGCGCGTCTCTCGGGTGTCCACGCGCGTGTGTGTGCCCGTGTGCAAAGGGTTCGTGCTGGTGGATGCTCTGGGAATTTGCTTGTGAAGGTTCTGCTGTTCTCAAGGGCATAAACTCATGCTCCCCTTCCTCCTTCTTTCTTATTTACTGGGAGACTGTGCCCTCGACAGATTCTTCTTGTGTCAGAAGTCTAGCCTCAGGTGTCTTCTCTTACTTCACTTTGGCGAAAAAATGTTTTCCAGGAGCTAAGGGAGGAGCATTTGGAGTGATCTTGGATCTTTTCAAGACCAAATAAAGCCAGGGCAAAAAAAAAAAAAAAAGTGCAAAAAGAAAACAAACAAAAAACCCAACTTCAATGACAAAGAGTTTTGAGAATATATTTATAACATATTTAATTTTTTAAAATCTTCAGCATTAGCCTCATAAGTTATTGACTATTTCCTGGGGAGGGGTGGAGTCGTGGGTTGGTCTGTTTGTGTGGTCTCCCTCGAGTGAGACCCAAGTGACCTCTTTGTTTGGTCTTAAAGGCATCCATTTTCTGGGAATTAAGCCACATTCGCTGCTAACCCTTTTGGGCGTTGTGAGGCCACAGTGAGCGTGTGACTGGGTTTTATGGGTGGTCTGATTTGGATACCGAGGTCTGCTGGAAGGTTCCTGCTCAGATAAGCTCACAGCTACCCAGGGCTGAGCCCATCTCCATGAACACCTATGTTCGTCTCTTGGTCCGCTGTGTGTACCTCACGTGGTGTTTCCTCTCCTGGGTGTGCACGTCCTACAGTTATCGTGCAAACGCAATAGTCAGATCCCAAAGGGCAAGAACCTGGATGGACTTTGAGAACACTAAGCAATATAAAGAAAGATGCACCCAGAATATCTTTTGGTCCCACCCATCCTTGGAACATCTGACATCCTCAGTACTGAACTCCCAGAAGCTGCTCTGTGCCCAGGGACCTCAGCTGAGCCAGGTGTGGTGCCTGAGCAGAATTCTCAGGTGCTTACGATGTTGCGACCCCTAAGAGGGTAGAGTCTGGAGGCGACACTATTAAAGACCTTCACACCACCGAGAACTTCCGAATGGGTGTGAATCCTCGGTTTCTTCTCTTTGCAAAAAGAATCACAGCTGCTCAAATAGAGAACACAGTGAACTCATGACTTTGGTTCATCAAAAGTCATCACCCACGGGTTATCCCTGAGTGCATTTTCTCACAAGTTTTTGATTGCTTCCTTCTCTTCTTCTCTTAAGAGTTGTGGGCTTAAGAACGGAATAGAGACAAAATGGCAACCTCCAGGCCCTCTCAATTCTTGATTCAGAACACAGGTAGACACAAATCCCAATTGTTTATTGCTATCTTATTTATATGATTTGAGAGATGACGGCATGTAAAATATTGCTGGGGAGCCTCGGTGATCGGGTACAAGAAGCAAGAGTACAGAAATTATTTTCGCCAAATTTATTTTGTAAATATGAGGGTCTGTACGTAAATTAAAAAACAAACACGTAGATCTAGGTATTTTGTTGTTTTTGTAGTACATCTGTAGTGGTCGTATACCACACTAGCAGCAAATTTCACACTTTTCTAATTCTGAAAGGTTTTCTTATATTAGGGGGAAAAGTATTTATTTTAATATATAAAATCACTCTAAAAATCACTTTCGTAAAACATGGAGCGCATGTACATTTTTATCAAACAAAAATAAACAGGTGAATGTTGGGTAATGATTTTTTTTTCAGCACAGTCTACCTCAGTGTATTATTAGGGTGTGTGGTTGAATAATAGACGCCTTTGAGGCTTCAGAATTCTGCCTGGACCTGGTCTGAATCAGGGGAAATGTGCATCAGCTGATTCTGAACGCCAGGGACTAGTCGGAATTTTGAAGGAGGGAGTTGGGATGGAGAGGTGTGGCCTTCATGTGAGCACAGATCCTTTTTTCCTTGACTGATAATATTCTTCTCTGAATTTAATCTTTTTTTTTTTAAAGTCCTCTGTTAATACCATGCTCCCCAAACATAAACCAACTTTCAGACTGTCATGATGTATCTGATATAGGGGACACGCACAGATTTAATCTTTTTTTTTTTAAAGTCCTCTGTTAATACCATGCTCCCCAAACATAAACCAACTCTCAGACTGTCATGAGGTATCTGATATAGGGGACACGCACACCAGTGTGGTCTATCTTCCTTTGGTGAGAGGTGGGTGTCCCATTTGCTGCTGGGCAAAGACAGGCTTTGGTTTCGAGCTGGAATCCCCACCTGACCCACTGAGTGCCTCTCAAGTGAGCGCTGATACTGTCTGGACTTGTGTGGTTTTGAGGACATGTGGAGGTCTAGGCAGGGTGAGCAGGGCTGTTCTCATACTTGCCAAACCTGGCCGCTCCTGTACTTCTAGGCATCGTCCTTGTAGACACCCTGTGCAAATGGGATTTCACTGATTTTATTTAGCTGTTTCCACTGCTTTGGTGAAAACAGAAAGCAGCTGTAGAGTCCCAAGCCTTCTTTACCATCAGAAAATGTTGACTTTGTAACAATAGAACTTTGGTCCTAGAAAGTCATGGTTGTCCTGGGAGTTTGTAGGGATGGGTTACAAAAAAGCAACAAAACTGACTCAAATCAGCACTTTTGTTGTTTTGAAAGATGTCCCACTATTATTAAAACCCTTTTCATTACTGCTGTGAAATCCACACAGTAGTTTCTTCTTCCAGGAGGAGAATACAAACACACCGTTTTTTCCCTGGATCAGTGATCTCAAACACATGTCAGAAAATGTTCGTATTCTGGGAGCTGTCTTAGGTGCTGTCCTGTCATTTGAAGCTGGTGGGGGTGGGGGGTCTGCAGGTTCTCTGGATATATGCTGAGCACAGTGGAGAGAACATGTGGAAATTGATGCAAAGGTCTGCACATACAATCCTGTGACCGTTGGGGACTATGCTGTCAACTGATGGACAGACCTTCCATTGTCTGCCACCAGGGCAGATGGTCTGCCATGAAGCGTGCTTATTGGGTTGGGAGGTGTTTATTTGTAGCCTGCTGTAAGGCTGCTCAGTAGTCAGCAACTCCATCAGGGCATGGCCCATGCTGGCCATCCCGGTAAATAAATGAATGTGCTGTAGGTCCAGCAACAATCATTTTTCTAATTTATGGTGTGTGGCAGTTTGGGGTTAAATGTCTTTTGGATGCCACCTGGTGAGTCTTCGACACCTTAGACTTCAGAAACGATGGTTTTGTTGGGAGTGGGGAAGGAAGAATGCTGATTTTATGTTAATAACACACATAGAGTGGTGTCACTTCAGAAAACCTTTCAGAATGTTCTGCAGAATATTAACTTACAC